GGGGTGAGATTTAACTCCCAGGTACCTTGAAAATAGCCCAACACGCCTCCTGGTTTTTATGAAGGCCATATTACCGTGTTAAACTTTGAGAAGGCATGAGCAAAGTGTTCAAAGAGGAGGACTTTCCAAAGACAGTAAGATCTTCATCATGAGGAAAAGTGCTGGATTTCCTGGGGGAGACAGAGCAGGAGCTGCAAAAAGACAACCTCTCAGAAGAGAAAGCTCTCTGGGTTTTGCTTTGTCCCTAGATTTTAGCAGACAGCAGAGGCCCCCTAGCTGTCAGGCTGCAGAGGTATCTGACAAGAAAACAGTGACTTATTACTGTGTTAAACTTTGAGAAGGCATGAGCAAAGTGTTCAAAAAGGAGGACTTTCCAAAGACAGTAAGATCTTCATAGTGAGGGAAAGTGCTGGATTTCCTGGGGGAGACGATCTCTCGGAAGAGAAAGCTCTGGGTTTTGCTTTGTCCCTAGATTTTAGCAGACAGCAGAGGCCCCCTAGCTGTCAGGTTGCAGAGGTATCTGACAAGAAAACAGTGACTTTCAATCAGGTGGTCCAGATTCTGACCTGGGAGAGGTTTTGTGAGGTCTTTTCAGTCCCCTGAGAAGCCACGGATCCTAAGCATCTTTCAGATGTAGTCAGGTCAGCTGGACAAGCTGGACATTTGGGGGGGGGGGGGGCCTGGAGGCTAAAAAACTGTGAGCTGGCTCACACTAACTCAGCTTAGAGGGAACACTGCCCAGGAGCCTTTGAGGCTGCAGGCTGAGGGCACTCCCGGTAGAACTGAGGCTCCAGGGTCTGGCCGTGGCCTGCCCTGTAAGCTCCAGGCCTGTCTGGCAGAGGAGAAGGGATCCCCAGAGGTGCTTCCTTTGGCATAAGGATGGGCACTGGAGGAAAAAAACACTCCTTGCTGGGTCAGAAAGCCAGTGAGAGAACGCCAGCCAGGATGAACTGTAGGAGCCAAGGAAACCTTTCCTGGCACTACAAGGAACTGATTAAGGTGGGAGGGAAAGAAGATCAGGGCCAGAGAGACGTGGGAATGGAGATTTCCTCCATACCCACGAGTTTCATTTGGGGTAAACTGATCTAGGTTAATTAAAGCTTTCTTATCCAGCTTTTTGAAAGGCCAGTATGTAGACAGCTGAGGGCAAAAGATCGCCTTATGTACAGAGGATGGGGGCTGGGATGTCAAGGGTCAACACCTCACCCCCACCCGATTGAAAACAACCTGGCAGAGAGAATGGTCACATGCAGCCAAGTGGCAGCAGTTGAAAGTGTGTGCCCCCACCCCCACGTGCTCCTGATGATGCTGGCCACAGAAGGTCATATCCTGAGCCGCCAGTGAGAAGGGAGCAGACAGACTCCACAACCCTGCAAGGAGGCACAGGAGAAAGGGCCTGGCCTGAAGGGAAACAGACAGGGGCAAGTGAGCCCTGGGGGGAGAGAACTGCTCTGTAATCTTCCCCTGAAGTTCCCAAGCAGGAGGAGGAGGAGGAGGAGGAGGGAGGGACTCGGGGGGGGTGGATTCCTCCTGGGAGAACCAAAGGACTTCATTACTCTGCAGGGAAAGGGTGGATGGAAAGACTGTGGAGTTTTTGGGAAATGGAGTGTTAATTCGGTCCCATCGAAGAGGCCGCGAGATCTGTGTACAGAAAAGCGAGGGGAGGGGAGGGATGCCAGGGTTCCCCCTGCCCCCGCTGGACTGCTGCTCAGAGGGCACAAAGGCAATGAGTATTGGCCTGATTTGCTCATGTTTTCTGGAATAAACGCAGGACAACTGCCCAACTGAATCTGCTATTTTAACTGGAGATAACCAACCCATGTCCGCAGCGCCATGCCAAGCCACGGGGAAACAGGCCGAGTGCATGGAGCAAGAAATAAGAGACATCTCAGAACTGGGGGTGATCAAACTGTCTTCTAATCCCCGTGGGTCTCCCATCGTGTTGGTAAACAACAACAAGGAACAGATGCACACAGTGTGTTTGTGCAGATTATTGCAAATTAAATGTGATTACACAGGCAGCTAAATATGATTGTCTATGCCAAGAATAGATGAACACAAATGATCTTGCAGTCATTTTATTACTACTTTGGATTTGACAAAAGGCATTTGCCACGCACGTGGCTTTGTTTTAAATCAGCATGTTACGTTTTGAGCCAAGCCATGCCACAGGGACCTTCCAGAGACAGCTTCATTGGGCTAAGTTCAGACGCTGCTGCGTATCTCCATGATGCAGCTATATTTTCCAGTTCCTGAAAGGGACACCTCAGGCACGAGGAGAAGGCACTAGGCTCACCCTGCAAGTGCCAGAGTGGACAGCAGGAAGTGGAGTATTTGGGACACGGGGGGGGGGGATATCCAACCAGTTGATGTCCACGATCAAGCTTAACAACAGGATGGAAATAAAACACAGCGCTATCTTGTCCAGACAGACAAGAGCTTACCTAAAATTGCTGGTGGGGTGGGGGTGGGTGGGTCGGTGGAGGGAGAGAGAATCACAAAGTTGGCTGGCAGAGACACGCAGCATAAAGAGATGGCCGGGACAGACAGGTTTAGTAAAGGTTTCCCATGTCTGCTGTGAAATTCATGTTATGGACAGACCTTTGAGCAAACTGAATGCTGGCTGCCAGTTTTGTTCCTACCTCTCTTTAAAAGCAGCTTTTAAAAATAGAACAGTTAAAGTACATGGAAATACCCTTTGTGGCGTGCTTGCTATTTTGGGGGGAGGGGGCCCCCTGTTTTTCCTTTAAACCATTCTCTGTGTATATAAACTCGGTAGTTTTCTGCTGCCACGAGAAATTAAAAACCCCAATTCTCTCTCTTGTGGTAGTGTGACCCAGGGTCTGGGCACTTCAGAGGACTATGTGGCCCTGAGGAAGGACTGTACTGATTTCTGGGATACGTTTAAACAAAAATTGATTTATTGAATAAAGAACAAAATAGGTTTCTGGTTATCTTGAACTGTTTCAGGAAGAAGGAACTTGTAAATATAACTGGCGAGGCGTCACACACACCGTCTCCCAGACACCAAAATTCCACGCTGGCCGGCACCTCTCTCTCGTATATATATGTGGCCACCCTGGCTAAGCTCTTTCTCTTAGGCACTCAAGATAAAACATCTGTCTAACCACACAGTGTAGACACTACTTGTTTCTTTGCCATGTAGACTCTCTCACAAAACGTTTGGAGTCACACAGACCCTCTTCGTGGCTCTTCCACCCTCCACTCTCCAAAAGACCCATACACAGAACTAGTGTTCCCTCTAAGTTGAGTTAGTGTGAGCTAGCTCACAGGTTTTTAGCCTCCAGCTCACAGATTTTTGTCTTAGCTCAGGAAGGAGGGCTCCAGAGCAATCTAGTTTATGCAGTAGTCAAATCGTCTGCTCACAACTTTAATGCCAGTAGATCACAAAGTAGCATTTTTGCTCAATGGACTCCACGGCTTAGAGGGAACATTGCACCCCTCCCTGCCCCTTTACGATTTACAAATAGGCTTGAAAACTCCAAGGTCAATGAAAAGCGGTGCTCTTTGAAAGAGCACCTATGCCGCCGCAGAGCTCTTTGGAGGAAAGTCTAGATAAAAACGTACAGGGAGGTCCAGCTGTCCTCGCCTTTTCGGTCCTGGGACTCCCTGTCATAAAACACACACACACACACACACGGATTCCTCTCAGAACATCCTCCTCCCACACCCAGTCATCAGCCAATCAAATCACACTTGCCTCCCTCTATCACTCTTCTTACAGTACTGCAGTCAAACGCAACATTTAAAGACACACACACACACCCAAAAAAACATGGAATCATTAACAACCCTACTTATCTTTTACCCTTAAATAAAAACCAAACATATAAGCAACAGCTGCAGAACTTCTCTGGGGATCTGAGTGGCTTTGAGGAAGAGGAGGTCAGTGGCACGCGCTTAACTGGCTCCTCACTGCACACAAACGGATCCTGAAGGACCCTCGCAGAGCCAGTGCTCCCTGGGACGAAAAAACAAATTGTATCGCACACAGAGAGGGACAGCCCCTCCAAAGGAGCTCCTCTGTCCTCACAACATGATGCCTTACTCAAGGCCAGGGGTTCTGGCTGCAGGGGAGAGAACAAACAGATGGGAGACAAATCAGAATCCAAGAAGCTGCCAACCTGTTCCTCTTACAGGGGCCTCCTCCGTCTTTTGGGACGTGTGCTTCTCCGAATCCCAGGTATGCCAATCTGATCCGTGCCTGGCTCCTGTGGAAAGGACATTCATGGAGTAACATGTTCCAGAAGATGACCCACTGTGAGCCGGGACACTGAGGGGCAATGTGGCCTGCAAACAATGGGCCAAGTATCCCCCCCTTCATAGTCTTTGGCTCAGTCAACCACTATGGCACCCGCTGGCCATGGCAGGAAAGAGGCTGGACTGCCCTCCTGTGACAAACAACACGCTTCCAACACCCCAACTCGGGTCAATTCATGTTTTGCAGGGGGAAGGTGACACGTGCCGCAGTTCCCACCACATCACCATTAAACCAGCAAAGGGGGTCATATCGCCATCTGGACTGGTTAACTTATTGGCGTATTGTGATAATCTTGTGCTGATTGTATTTTAACGGCTTTTAAGGTTGTAAATCGCCCAGAGCCTGCTAGCGGGGGTTGGGCGGTTCATAAATCTAATAAAATAAAATAGAAGTAAATGAAAGGTTGCCACTGCTTGGGACACAACAGCTGAGGACAAGAATGTAGACGTTCCAGAAATTCTGAAGCCAAGGCAGAAAAACAAAACTGTTCAGTAAAAGCTTTTCTTTGGGGGGGAACTGTACTATATACAATGCTTACCTTCTTAAACATATTAACAAGATAAAACACATTATTTCTAACTTAAGTTAGCATCTAAAATTGTACTACTTGGTACATGTGAAATGCAAGCAAAATGTGCACGTACCCAGGGAGAGAGAACTGCAAACTGCGGCACCCTCTGCTACCTGAGCGCCCCCCCTCCCCGGTGCCTTGCTCTTTGCCCCCTGAGAGCCGGAAGGGAAAGAAAAGCTGGAAGCAGAAAACCACTTCTGCAGTGAACAAGAAGTGCATGACTTGCACAGGAACAGCCTCATACAGCCCCAAGTAGGGGCTATTCTTAGCGGATCTGGACGTCAAGTTAAACTTTTCAATATTTTCAACATTATACTGTTCAGTAGCATTATACTGTTCAGTACTATATTATCATACACGTTACAGCGTGAAAAACTGTGGTGAAAATCCAGTACATTTAAAGAAACATACCGGTGATTCTGTCTGCCACAGGAATCATAATCACCCCCGAGTGCTGCATAAAGTGCCTTATACAAAAATCTTCATTCTACATATTCTGAGAAAAACTGACCTCATTCCAAAAGAGAAAACATTCTTAGGCTTTCCCCCCCAGTGCTCCCTATGATTTCCAATGTTATCTTTGGAAAAAATGGAAAGAGAAGAACTCAAAGAGGAAATCATCCCCCCCCCCCCAGCATCTCACTGGTGAAGGAACCTCTGTCTTGGCCGCAGAATCCCAGCCTGTCTCGAGGGATTCCCAGACGCACTCCAGAGCAAGCCCACTTCAGGGCCCCGGTGGGCCTTACAAGTCACTGGTACTGGACCTGCAGCACCCCCAATACTCTCCTCTTCAACGGCTGCTCACAAGAGCCTGTTTGCCATTACTGATCTTTGTACCAGCCTCCAATGGAAGCCAGGGTCTCCCCTGGACATGGGAAACCACCACCATTAAAATCCACCTCGTGTTTACCACAAAGATTAATCTCTCTTAGACACTACAGCCAAGGGAAGCCGGCCAGAGGGCACAGGGACTCAAGAGGCACTGAAATAAAGATCTAGCCTAAGTAGAGAAAAAGGAAACCAGGCATGGCAATCAGAACTCTACTAGTGAATTGTTCCTTGATCTCGTAAAAAGGACACACACCCCCCCCTGGTAATTTTGCTTTTAGAGGTCTTCAGAAATTAAAAGCAGGCCTGACTGGAAGCCGGCCTCTTGACTTGGGCACCCCCGGCCACCCACGTCCGTCTGTGCCCCCCCCCAGGGTGACCTAAGATCTCTACGGGCAGACGCTAAGCGTGAGCTCTGCTCTTGCCTTGCCGCCCGAGCCTTTACCTCCTGCCTCTCAGCCATTCTGCCAGCTTCTCTGTGGTCTTCCTCGTTCTCAGATGCTGATGATGATGATGAAGAGGAGGAGGAGGATGCTGACGCGAATGAGTCTCCTTTGTGGCTGCTTTTCCACCACCTCTCCCCAGGGAGTGTGGTGGTCACCCTGGGAGGAGACAGCACGGCGAGAGCAGCCGGGAGGGTGAAGGCGGCCAGGAAGCGGGCCTTCAGGAGCTGGTAGGCAGGGTTCTCCCGGAGCCTCTGGTGCACCACTGCTCTCAGGGCATCCGGATCCGGCTGCTGACTGGACTCCTGCTGCCCTCCGGGAGTCACCAGACGCGCCGCCGTCTGCTCCAGGGCTGCTTTGCTGAGCAGCAGGGCAGAGAGCATTCTCAAGCTGCACAGGAAAGGCGGCAGGTAAGGCGGGCCGCTTCCCGAGCCGCCCTGGGCCCACGCCTTCACCGCTGTGGCGTCCTCCAGGGAGAGAAGGCTGTAGTCGGGGGCGACCTTCTCCCGTGGCAAAGGCGGTGGAGGGCCAGCCCCTCCAGGAATGGCAGGACGGTGAGAGTTTCCCACGGCACAGTTCTGGACACTCCCCACGGAAGCGCCGGGCACGGGGGGCATCAGAGGGCAAGTGGGGGGCAAGGGGTGCTGCAACTCGGTTGAGGCTGCGGGAGCAGGCGGGACGGAGGGGGGTGTCAAGCCAGGCGTTCCGTCCTCCTGGCGGCTGCTGGGAGAGGCCCCTTGCGATGGCTGGCTGCATGGCACTGGGCCTGGGCTCACGGGAGAGGCCTCTGCCGCCCGGTCCAGACCTGGAGAGGCGCCAGGGCTGCCCGTGGCACTGGGCTTCCCTGGACAGGGAAGGCTCACGACAGTCACTGGGACGAGGCCCTGGGCAGTGAGCAGCCAGGTTACGGGACGGATCTGCTTGGCCGCCTCGGGGGAGCCCAGCGGGAGGGCTACTGACGGGGGCACCAACTTAGCAGAGTCCTGCTGACAGCCACCCGGCCCCAGGGCACAGGCAGCCTTCTTTGTGCCAGGCCCCACACTGGCAGGACAGAGAGAAGCAGCAGGGGCTGCCGAGATCTGGAGAGGCAAAGGGGACTGCTTTGGCAGCAAAGGGGCAAAGGAGGCAGCGGCTGACACTCCCCGCCTGGCCTTCTGCAAGCCACCCTCTTTGCCACGACCAGCAGAAGCCTCTTCCGCCCGAGAACCCCTCGTGTCCCGTGACAACGGCAAGTGACTCTGTCCTGCTGAGCCAGGGGAGGCGGAAGCGCCCACAGGCGAGGGGTTGGGCAGTGATGGGCCATTTGCAGCTGTGGGGAGGCCACGAGACCCCGTCAGAGCCGGAGGCTGGATGATCACCGAGGAAGGCAGGAGCAGCTGAGGCGCCAAGATTAACCTCTTGGGCAGGGCCCTCGCTGCCTTCACTTCACGCAGCCTCTTCTCTCTCAGCAGCTCAGAGACAGTTTTGGGTTTGGAAGGCAGGCGAGGGGGTGGACAACCCACCCGGGCATGAGCAGGAAGAGGGCCCTCCTTGGCCTTCAACGGGATGAGCTTCTTACTGGTGCCCACGGGGAGGCTTGACTGGGCTGGACAAAAAAAAAAAAGGACAAAACAGAGAAGTTAGGAACGGAGACGAGTTTCCAGAGTTCAGGGCCCAGGATCCTGCCACTCCACAAAGCCTCCCGCTTCAGCCGGCAGGGACAACGGAGCAGACCTACGGAACTGCTTTGGAACAACTCAGCTGCAGCAGCAAATTTTCTGTTTCCCCAAATACTTCAGCGAGGAATTCAGAACTCTGGTCCCTCTGTTTTGTGACACCATCCCTTCCAGCGCTCGACAGTGGGTGATCTCACAAGTACAACCCCTCTCCCCGGCAGCCTTCCAGGTGCTTCGGACAGCAATCCTGTTGACATCTTCCCAGCCCAGGGGACACCCCTGAAGGTGAGGAGAGAGAGAGGGAGATCCCCCAAAGTGGCGGGGGGGTGGGCAGCCGCAGCCTGGGACTTTGGGGGGGGGAGAGCTTGCAGCGGGGTCCGCTCAGCATCAGCCCCGAGCAAAGGCCATGCACTGACAGCACTCCCTAATGCACAGCACAAGCGACCTGGGGCAGGCACCAGACTACTCCCACACAAGGGCTGGCAAACTCTGGAGTGGCCTATTCCTCTCCCACTCGAGGCATGCACCGCTTGGCTAGCGACAGTGGCCTGGGAGACGGGCTTCAAGCACAAGCCGAACGGGGGCAAATACCTGCAGGATCCTGAGAGGGAGAAGCCTGCGAGAAACAAGAAAAGGGAAAACATCAGTGGCCCACAGACACGAGCTCCCCAAAGTGCAGTGAAACAGAGGAAGGCTTAGAGATGTAAAATTTCCGGAAATTTTGAAACTCGGAAAAAACCCTGGGTTTTTTCGGGAAAAAACAGAAATTTTCGGAAAAATTGAAAAAAAATGCTACATTAGCATTTCTTTTGTATTTTCTAGATTGAAAGTCATTCTGTTACTTTAGGAACATAAAATATGACATTTTTACTTGGCATGAAATTATCACAACTAGCATATTAAAAATATAGTGTATCCAAACAATTATTACAAACAGAATACCCACCCACATGCAAAAACAAACCTGAAACCTTTTTATTTTCTTCTGACAATAGCACCTCCTAAAGAAAGAAATGCATCTTGTTCTTGCATTGGAGAGTTCAGTTTGTAACCTAGGACTTGCTTGTCCTCAGTGCACAGAAATTAGATCAATCTGATGTCATATATATATATATTTTAGAAATGATTTGGAAAATATTTGAACACCTGGTCTTAAAATATTTTATTCATCATGTTAAAATAAAACGTTCCATAGTCAATTTATTTTATTTTATTTTTTCAATTTTTCCAATTTTTCGGAAAATAACAAAAAAGGCTTCAGGAAAAAAACGGAAAAAAAACTGGTTTTCCCCCGAATTTTTCCGATTTTTTTCCGGGCCTTCACATCTCTAGGAAGGCTGCGCCCTCGCAGGGGGAGAATGTCCTGGTGAACGGTGCCCATTTGTTCACCTTTGTGAGGGAGTGGGGGCGGTGGCATGCCTGCGCATGTGTGGGGGGTGAGAGCACTGCTTTCCTGCCTCAGGCTCACTGATGGCAGCTTCAATTCTCCAGCCTCTTTCCAGACCAAGAACAGCATTCGGAGGGACCCCCTCCCACCCCCACCACAGCAGGGTTGCTGTGAGGCCCTCTGGGCTCAAGGGAGGTGTGCAGACAATGGACGCATGCACCAATGGGGGCCAGTACCTGATCGGCGCCTCTCGCATCCCCAGCAACAGCCTCCAGGAGCTCCAGCTGCCGGGATTTCCTCTTCTGGATGATTTTCATGCAGCCATCAACATCAATATGAAGCAGCTGTAGGGCCACATAATGCCTCGCGTTATGTTCTTGGAGGAAGACAGGCAGAATCCATGGCAGAGAACAACAGTGTTCAAAGACCAGGGGCTGTGTGTAAGTAGTGAGAAACGGGACTCCGAGAATCCACTGCCCCTTTTCCTGTAGTGTTTGTCAGGCATCTGTGCCTGAAGGCATGGGGAATGTGTGGCCAGAGCATTCAGCCAGACCATCTCTGACACAAGGGCGGGAGATGCCTACGGAACCTGGCGAGGCTGAGGCTAGATGAGCTTTTGCTCTGAGGGCGATTCCTTGAGTTTATTTAATTTACCCCCCCGTAGAGGCAGCCGCCCTGTTGGATTGCAGCCTCCTGTGAGTGGCCAGAGATTGCAAGGTGCCAGGAAGCAAGTCCCACAGTTCTGAAGCCTGAGCTGAACATCACTCCTGAGCCTCTCTCCCACCACGCGCAAAGGCACTCCCCTCCCTCCTCCATCGATGGAGACCAAAAAAGTGGTTTTACCTGCTGCCCCCCCCATTTCTTCCATCTCGTATTGCTTGAAAACTGCTCCACATCACCCCAAGCCATTCCTTCTCCAGAGTGCAGCCAGTTCTCCCATTGGTTAATAGGATCAGCCTTCCACCTTGTGAGGCAATAATCCTCACTACATGGTAATCATTCATTTGTATTTGGCACTATCCTACTTTTGACTCCTGTCTGGGACAGGTGCCAACCTGTGCCTTTGCATTTTCTGTGTACTTGGGGGGGGGGGGGTAAAGCTGACCCTCCTAGCTGTCCTTGAAAGAGCCATTCAAAATTCACTTTCTCTAAGGAGGTGGGGGAGAAGAGGTGCTAGAGGGTCAAATAAATTATGGGGCTCTCTCTAGCTGCAGGCTTGTTTTTTTAGAAACAGTTGTTAGGAGGGATGTGCACCTCAGGAAAAAACCCCAGACTTTTTGGGACTTGGATATCAGTGAGCGGGAAAATATCAGTATTCCCAATTATCCAGCTTCCAAATACCGCTTTGGTATTTGGATCTTGGGGTTTTCTATGCCTGCCACTAAATAATTGCCCAAGTTTCAAGAGAATTGAACCAAGAGGTCCATAAACAAGGTGCCCTCATCTATCCTCCACTGTTTTCAAGGGGTGAGAGGAATTCCATGTTTTCTGCAGGGCAAAGAAGAGCTGAAGACACAAAAACTAGCAAAGCAACCACTGGTTAAAAACTGCCCAAAGCAGAAAGAACCAACAAGCTCAAGGAATCAATGCAGAACTGGGAAATCTCAGCAGAAGCATGGGACAACGTGGCAGTCCTAACACAACAAATGTACAACCCGAGAATCTGCACCAATGTGAAACACAAGAATCCTCCAAGGCAAACAGATTTAACAAGAGCTGTTGCAAGCCCAACAAATGTCTGAGAATCTAGACCAATATATACCCAAGGATCCAAGCCACTGTCAAACCAGATAACCCAATGCAAGCCACAAGCCTGACACAAACCCACTCCAGCAACAAAACCAATTTCAGAGGAGAAAATCAAAGCCAAAGCAACATGACAAGCTGTTACCAACCAAGGCCTGGCAAGACACAGACATGTGGTACAATTAAAGAAAAAACAGTCCTGGGAGCCTGCAAACATCTCAGTCATTCCTAGGGGAAAATTCTATCTATCTATTTAATTCAAGCTTGCCTTCAAATTGATTTTTCCCATAACCTTAAAGGGGTGGGGGGTGGAGAAAGTGTGCTTGATTAAAAGAGTAAGGTAAAGGTAAAGGTTCCCTTGCTCGAAAGCCAGTCGAATCCGACTCTAGGGTTGCGGTGCTCATCTCCGTTTCAAAGCCGAAGAGCCAGCGCTGTCCGAAGACGTTTCCGTGGTCATGTGGCCGGCATGACTAAACACCAAGGAGCACGGAACGCTGTTACCTTCCCACCAAAGTGGTCCCTATTTATCTACTTGCAATTTCTTGCTTTCGAACTGCTAGGTTGGCAGGAGCTGGAACTAGAGACGGGAGCTCACTTCGTCTTGCGGCACCCGGGTTTTATTTACCAGGAATTCCCATTGAGGTGTAAATAACTGGAAGACGGAGGAGTGGGTGTGGAAGCTGTTCCATGGGGCCTCCTCAGGGCTGAGTCAAGGCCACTTTGAGTCACATACACCTCACAGCAACCTTTTGAGGTAGTACAACTATCTCCAAGAATAAGTTCTGCTCCAGCAGAAAGTTGCTAAATGAAGCACCCAAGTTACAGTGCACCCAGTGGGCCCACTCAAAGTCCCAGTGAAGCTGCTTCTGTGCCAATTTCTCCATCCTACTTTCTAGAGCCATTATCATGCCTGTACCGGACCCGGCGCCTGGGAACTCTGAAACTGAGGACTCCGTGCCTTTAACATCATCAGAAGCACGAGGGTCCTCACCAAACCTAAGTGCCAGGGAGGATGAACGCCAAACCCCAGGACAGTTTACACCTGACGCCAATTGGGCAATGCCTGGCCCCAGCAACACGCCACCCGATTCTCCGCCACCTGTTGACCGGCTGAGGAATCAGAGACAGAGATTTGGCAACCAGGCGCAAGGAGGCACGCTTGCTTGATCATTAAGCCCAGATTACTAACAGAATCAAGGACTTTGCAAAGCCGTGCTAATGAGATAACGACCCAGCACGCTATTTGGAACAGACCGCTGGCTGCTAGCAAACTATGCTGGCAAACTTGTCCGTTGGACCAGAAGCTCTGCACCTCTGACTCTGTTTAGCTCCTGACTGATTTCCCGGTTCCTGACTCCAGTCCGCGTTTTGACGACCCCTCTGGCTCTTGATCCTGGGCTCCGCTTCCTGACTACGATACTGGCTTGTCTGGACTCTATCGGTAACGTTTGACTACGGCTTGGCTTTGTGTGCCTGGGGCTTTTGCTCAGACTCTTTTGATCTCTCTGGCTTGACTCTTGGACTAGACTGTAAACTCTCCCTCTCTGCCTTGCCCCACTGGCCCTGTCGTGACACCCATCATTGTTCAGCTCTGAAGGTGGCTTTTCGTGTGCAGAACATGCTTTGGATCGGGCCACAGTGAGGCAGGGTGGGAGGGCACCAGCTGCCATTGTGACCACGCCTGATGGCTCAAAACCAGCTGCATGAAGAACTTGGCCATTTGCCCCCTGAGCTGTCTCAGCAATATCATAGCTAGAGCAGCCTGTTTCCAAGATTAGCTACAGAGAAGGGGGGGGGGGAGAGAAGAGGATGAAAACGTAGCAGAAGGTCGCACATACCTGAATGAAAAGCGTGAACACGGGAGTACTTTTGAGACTGGCTATCTGCAGGTACTTGAAGATGAATTCCACTATAATTCCACCAAAGAAAGACAAATATGTTTAACCAAAATATCCTGGGAAATATGTTAATTAAGGAGGCCCAGCTTCACTTCAATTCTTGTTCCTTGTACAAGACTGAACCTTCCATCACAGGGACCTCACGTGGCTCAAAGCACAACACTCTTTAGCTGAGAAAAGCTGATCCTACAAAGACTGCATTTATTGCTACATTGGAGCAGACATATGGAACAGGCTGAAAGGATTTCAGGGACTCTTTGGAGGGTGTGCTGGGGGGAGGAGGAGGCCAAAGAAGGGGCACAGCTGGGACTTGGCTCAGGCATTCCCTGACCTCTTCTGTCGGGAAAGCAAGATCTAGTGCTCTGGGTCAGGAACGGTGGACTGGCAGGAATGAGCCTGAAATGTACTCTAAGGTGCCCAGCGAATCTAACTGATCAGGTAAGCCCCATGTACAGAAGACAGCCTCAGATCCCCCCCCCCCAACACTAGAGGCAGAGGCAGCAGTGGCTCTGCAGAGGGGAGAGAGGAAATGCTCCTTACGCCTCTTTGCTCCCTCTTCAAAAGCAATATGGGAAGTTGTGCATCCCCAACAAGCCTTCTCAACCTCTTTCAAGAGTCCTTCCCCTCACATGAGCTTGGAAACTGGCACACAAGTCTTGGCTTGCCACACTGTTTTTAAAGAGGCCCGGGAGAGCAAGGGGCAAGGCAGATTATCTCTGCCAGGCGGAGATGGGAGGTGGGTGGGCTGGCAATGGGGAGACAGGAGTTTGCTGCAAAATCCTCCTTGCAAAACCGGCCCTGTAAATCCCACCTTTAAACCTGTAGGCAGCGGCTGAATGCTTTTAGGCCACCTGATTGTTCTAATCAGCATGACTGTGAGAGAGGGCCTCCAATGAGAGACATTCTGGTGCCTGCCCCTGGCCTACCATCACACCCTCCAGGTTAACTTGGGCCAGTTACTACAAAACTGCCCGGATCTCCTTTGAGGAAAGAAGGGGAGAAAAAAAGTGTGGCCAACAAGTAAATAAAATCATCACTTTCTTCCTCAGAAGGGAAAAGGTGAACTCTATAAAACTGCTCTTGGCCTCCGGGGCTGCCAGGTACCTTTGGACTTGTGGGACGCTTCGCTCTTGACCCGCTGGGCCCAGGCCTGCACCCTGCTCCCAGCCCAGGGGGACACCGCCATCAAAAGCCGCCGGTAGAGCGTCATCTTCCACATCCCGTCTCTCTGGCCTCTGGCAGGCTCCCTGGCTGGGGGGACCAAATCTCTCCCAAGGCCCCTCCTCTGTGAAGCAGAAGCAAAGCGCCTCTTTCTGTGTTTCTCTCTCTGTATGTAATGCAAAAGAGGAATATTAACTTAGATGCAGAAACTATCCCAGGCTACTGAGCAGAATTAAAACTTGCTTTACCCAGAGCCCACTGAAAAATCCAGACATGTACTTGAACTTCCATCCTGCTTCACCCAAAGTCTCAAGACAGGCAACGGCAACATTAGAGCAAAACAAGGGGGAGGCCCGCTACACCTGCAGGGGAGAAGCCCACCCCTACCCCCCCATCGCAGCTCCAGGCCCCACCAGCCCCCTTAGTCCCAGTGCCGACGGCAGCGGCTTTCAGAATGCTCCGCCCCGGCAGCCACGGAGAGGCTCCTGGCGTGCTCCACCACAGCAGCTGGGTCTGCAATGGCTTCCTGCAGCAATGGCCGCCATCAGCTGAACTGGCCAAGTTGTGTTTCTGCATGTGCATGTGCAGATGCTTTTTTAAAAAAATTCGAGGGAGGGGGATTTTAAACCTTCCATGTTTGTTTTTACTTGTCAGATTTTTCTGCAAACCTGGGGAGTCCCCCAACTTTGCAGAAAAATCTGCTCAACAACTGTTTAGCCCTGATTCATGGATTTAGGTATCGACGGATGAGGCCGCACATCACCATTAGACATACAGATTAAAAAACCAAGCACCAATACCACCCCCATTCCGTCCCATTAACACTCATTTCAACAGTTCAGAGGCTAAGCCTGTGCTCGATCCTGGCTTCCCAGTGCTCCGAAGCCAGCCCAGACTGAACACCTCTAAACCAATCACATGCACCCAAGAGAACAGCTTGTGCCATTTCATTTCCTTCCAAGAGACATACACAAGAGAGCCTAAGAAAGGTACCTACATTTCTCCTCTGCAAGTCATAGCTGTTTCTCCGCAAGACACATTTCACATAGGCCAAAGAAACCCTCCATGAGTCCTTTTTGCTTCTGGAAATCTGCAGGAAAAAACAAAATGCTCATCAAGCAAATGGGATTTTAGCCCACACCCATTTAAGTGAAAACAGACATTTAGGAAAGAACATGGCACCCAACACACAAATCCTGTCAGCCTGTTTGCAAGTCATGAAAATGTTTCAGAAGCCTACCAAGGCTTATTGTGGTAATTTGTGGCGCATGGAAAACCTGACAAAAAAGAGGGGAAAGGCAGCACAGCTTCTGTAAAGGAGTCCAAGGAGAAGGTTCAGAAGGCTTGTTGTGGGTAAGTTGAATTCCAGAAGGCTTCTGACAGGGTACCTCCGCTTAGTCACGGGATAAAGGGGGGAGGTCTTCTTATGGATTCAAAATTGGTTCAACAATACAAAGCAGGAATCAATGGATAGTTCTCACCATGGAGAATCAGTATTGGGACCTGTGTGGCTTAATTTTTTCAAAAGTGATCTGCAATTGGGGGCGAGTAGTGCAGTGGCCAGGTTTGTGTGTGATGCCAAAGTATTCTGGGTGGTAAAAACCAAGGTGGAGTGTGAAAGCGCCAGAAGGCTCTCTCTAAACTGGGGGAGTGGGCAACAACACAGCTAACGAAATTCAAGTGTACACCAAAACAAAAAATCCCCCATCACTGATGGCGTCTGAATGGCTCACAACTGAGAGGGAAAGGGATCCTGAGGTTGTAGTGGACAGCTTAATAAAAATGTCAACTGAATGTGCAGCAGTGGTGAAAAAGGTAAACACCATGATGGGGATTATTAGGAAAGAGACTGAAAATAAAACTGCCCATGTACTGATGTCTCTACAGAGGTCTATGCTGAGGCCTCACTTGAAATAACATTCTAGTCATTGCATTTTTAAAAAAGATAGAGCAGAGCTGGAAATGCAGAAGAGGACCACCAAGTGAGTTAAGGGGCCGAAGCATCTTTCCAACAAGGAAAGGCTACAAGCTTGGGGCTTTTAAATATAGAATACTGTAGTAGTACAAATTTAGGGGGGGGGGGTCAAGGTTTATATAACTAGGCATGGTGGATAGAGAGCTTTTTCTCTCTCTCCCAGAGTATTAGAAATCAAGGCACTCAACAAAATCGATGGGCAACAGATTCAGGAAAAACAAAGAAAGTACTTCATTACTCAGTGAAAGTGTGGCACTCACTCCCAGTGGATGTAGTCACAACCATGAGTATAGGTGACTTTAAAAGGTATTAGATATTCATTAAGGGTGGACCCCTCAGTGGCTACTAGCCACAGTAAGCAAAGGAACCCTGCTATTCAGGAGCAGTGAACCTCTGAATACCAGAGCTAGGAGGCAACATCAGGGGAAGGCCTTGCCTACTACAGCCCGTTTGTTTGCCCTGCAGGGCAAAAGGCTGGCTAGTGAGAGAGACACAGATGAAGCTGCCTTATACTGAATCAGACCCTGGGTCCATCAAAGTCTACTCAGACTGGCAGCGGCTCTCCAAGGTCTCAGGCAGCGGTTTTTCACATCCCCTGCAGCCTGGTCCTTTTAGCTGGAGATGGTGGGGATTGAAACTGGGACCTTCTGCATGCCAAGCAGAGGCTCTTCCACTGAGCCACGGCCCCTCTTTACAGCTCTCCAGGGTCTCAGGCAGAGGTCTTTCCCGTCACCCACTGCCTGGTCCTTTTTAACTGGAGATGCTGCCGGGGATTGAAACTGGGACCTTCTGCATGCCAAGCAGAGGCTCTGCCACTGAGCCACAGCCCCCATGTGGGACAGCCCTAGCTGCCAGGACGTACTCTGGTATCTTCCACAGCCAATTCCTCCTCTGCCTGAATATTAACCGATGGAGATGTCCTGGACTCAAGACCTTCAGGAGCTTGGTCCTTTTCTGCAACAAGAAGTTTACCACGGATCGGCCTCAGCTTTCTGTTCACATCAAGGCCCTTTGAAAGCACAGTCACAGAGGCCAGCTCCCCAGGAATGCTGGACGGATTCTGCCTTGCAGGGATCCACAAGTCTAAGCTGGGCACTCTCCAGGCTTCAGGCTTGGGGGACTCCTCCTCCTCAGCACCGTCCTCCTTCAGGGCCAGGTCTGAATCCTCACTGCTGGACTCTGGTCGCCACTCCTGGTCAAGGTTATTCCTCTGCTTCCTCCGCTTGTTCTTCTGTAAACACAAAAGAATACACAAATGACTTCTATGGGCACCTGCAGCTCTTTTGCTTTCAAACAAGGCTTAACTTTACTATTACAATGCCACAGTGCATGGCATTTTACAGATTACAAATAGTCAGATCCCTCCTCTGAGGAGTTAGCTATAATAAACTTTTAGCCAAGGGAGAGGCAGGAATTAAGCATGCCGCGAATGGTTAGTTAAATGTGCTTAGGCTTAGTTTCAGTGAAGTCAAAGTCAAATACCTTTAATGGCATAATAGTAAAATACATAGATATACAATAACACAGCATGAAAATTTAAAAGCATAGCGAACAAATCATTCCTTTAGGAGCATAGATCTAACTTTGGCTGCTTCGGCAAGAAACTTGGCCATTATAGCTGTGATATCAGGATTAACATCCTTTAGAAGATACTGAATAGCTTTTTCCTTATTAGAACTATAATTAAGAGGAAATAAAGATGACAGCAATTCTTTGCATAAGCCTGAGTGAAATTGACAGTCGAAAATAACATGATATATTGAATCTACAGATTTTAAAGGGCATGAACATAACCTTTCATGTAGGGGAATTCTATGAAACCGACCTAAGAGCACTTTTGAGGGGAAAACATTTAGACGGCTGAACTAAGTTATGGAAATAATGGGCCATCTGGCCATACTGAATTGGAAGATTCAACTCAGCCTGAGAGAATATACAAAATTGTGCAGGACATAACATTTGAAGTTCAAGGTCAAACAGTCTCTGTTTGTTGTTCGACATTCTGTCCCCACATGTGTATCAGTGTTCAAGCTATAATCCATCAGTGTGGTTCTAAACATACCAAGTAAACTGAATCCGCTCCCAGTGCTTTTCCCAAGGAACAAGTTATATCCCTGTTCTCTTTATAAGTTTTATGTCAGGTGATGGTGGTCAGAGAAGCAAGAATGGTCTACCATGACATGAAACCTCAAAGAATCATGCTGTGCTGTTAAGAACACAAGAATTGCCTTACTGTATTAAACAAAAGGTCAGTTGCATCCAACATTCAGTTTCTAATGACCCACCAGATGCTTTTAGAAAGCTCAAAAGCAGGTCATGATGATAGAAAATTCTTCTTGCTTGTTCTTAGCATTTGGTAATTAGTACAGTGTGAAGGCTGAACTAAGTTATGGAAATAATGGGCCATCTGGTCATACTGAATTGGAAGATTCAACTGAGCCTGAATATACAAAATTGTGCAGGACAAAATCTGGAAAATTCAAGGTCAAACAGTCTCTGTTTGATAATCTGGAAAATAGAGATTTTATCCAGTGAATAAAAATATTCTAAGAAAAAGCCGATTTGACTGATTTTTTTAATCAATATACGCCAACCAGGTTGCACTATAAGCATCATTTTTGAAATGTGAAATTAAGGAATTTGGTTCGATCAGTTAAAAGGCAGGTTCGGTCTGCATATAAAGAATTCCGCAGTTCGAACAACTATGATAAATTAAATAACTACCATGATCAAAATAACCTTTATCATGATTTTATCCTTAATAAAAATAGGCTGTTCTATGATAGGAAATGGTCTGAACTATTCCAAGCATTAAAATCCAATAACAATAAATCTTTTTGGCAAGTTGTATCTTCTTATATGAACAATAGCGTAATGCCCTCCTATCCTAACATCCCCCCTCAAACTTGGATTGATTATTACAGTACAATTTTTGATGCCCCTGATAATATCTCTTTTGACACCAACAACACTATCCCAGGAGACACACCCAACCAATGTTCCCTCTAAGCTGTGGAGTCTCGTGAGCAAAAATTCTACTTTGTGAGCTCCTGGCATTAAAGTTGTGAGCGAGCCATTTGGCCACCGCATAAATTAGTTTGCTCTGGAGCCATCCTTCCTGAGCCAAGACAAAACTGTGTGAGCCGGAGGCTACAAGACTGTGAGCTAGCTTACTATAACTCAGCTTAGAGGGAACACTGCACCCAACTGGCCTCCAGTAACTGCGGATGAAGTGATTGAATTGATCTCAGAACTGAAACCAGGTAAGGCTCCGGGTCCCAATGGGATCCCGGCAGAAGTTCTTTGCAAACACCCTCATTGGTGGTCCTTACCACTAGCCAATCAATTCACTTTAATTAATCAATCTGGAAGGATTCCCCAGTCATTGTTGAACTCTATCAATGAAATCCTAATTGCCCAGAAAGTTACAAGCCAATCACTCTTTTATCTATAATTGGCAAGTTATATGCCAAATTCCTAGAAAGACTGCTAAGAACATGGATACAGTCCCAGCAGATAATTAGTCCTGAACAAATTGGCTTCTTGAAAGGTAACTCCATTGTAGACCACTGCTTTCTTTTAACTTTTCTGGCCGATACATGTATGAAATCGGGTACTAAAAAAACTGTATGAAGCCTTCATCGATTTAAAAGGTGCATTCGATTCAGTTTCCAGATTGCTTTGGAGAAAGCTTGGAACTTTGAACATTGATCCTCGACTATGATTTTTAATCACAAAGCTCTATTCATCTACAGTCTCAAGTTAAATTCTCGGAATCTGGTCATCTAACGGCTACAATACCAACTTTAAAAGGAGTAAAAAAAAAAAAAAGGCTGCATACTGGCCCCACTCCTCTTTAATCTGTTTTTGAATGATCTTCCGCTAAGGCTGGAACATGTTAATGGCCACCCTTCCTAAATTGGGATCTCAAAAGATCCCCCTTCTACTCTATGCGGACGACACTACAATCCTTTCTTGTACCAGGGTTGGACTTCTCAGATATTTGCATGCTTTTCATAAATTTTGTACTGATAACTCTTTGGTCATTAATTACTCAAAATTCAAAGTTCTAGTGTTCTATAAACATTGGAAGCCTACGAAGTGGACAGTAGGGAAAACTGAGATTGCCCAGGTTAAAAACTTCAAATACCTAGGGATTACTTTTCAATATAATCTTAAATGGACAACCCATAGATCCCGCAATATTTCTTTAGTTAAACAACATCTTAAACTATTCTTTTACTCCAGAGGGAATCAATATTTACCAGGTGCTTAGTTTCAATATGTGAGGGGATGGGGAAAGTTGGGGGCTTCCCCCTCCTTTTCTGTGATGTCTTTGGCTCGGAGGTGGCTTCAGGCAGGTGCTCTAAAAGCAGTTCTAAGGGGCAGCAAGGGAGAAAGGTGGGCGTTGCCTGAGCTTTAGACAGAAGAGGGCCGGAGAGCAAAGGTCACAGGCGGAGTAGTACCAGGACATAAGGAGGGGGGGGGTTTACAGAGTTTGTATTGAAGCAGGAGCTGGCAGGAAGCTCGTGCAGGGCTTTGACGAGAGACTTCATGTGACTAGAACAGGACACGTGACTGAATCTACCTGCAGAGCATCAGATGGAAGCAAAGGAGCTCAAGCGTGAGAGCAGAAGACCAAGGAGGCACTGCGCAGGGCAAAAAATAAAATAAAAAAATGGCCAGGTCATGAATTGGAGGCTGACAAAGACAGCAGACAGGAAGGGGTGTATTTTGGCAATCTTGTTAAGGAAGCAGTGGCATAAGCTGGCAACAGACTGAGCATGGGAACTAAAGGCGAGGCTTCATGCTTTATCAGTAGAGAGGACGGTGAGTGGATGGATGGATATAGAAAGGGTATGAACAGGTGAAGGCTTGGGAGGAAAGGGGAGGGGCCTCAGACAGGCAGCGATGGCTGTGACACACTGATGGGACTGGGAAATCAGGGGGATTAATGTGGTCCCCCAACAACTGTGTGCAGAGGGAACAGGGCCAAGGACAGATCCAATGGGGACCCCAGCGGAAAGAATGAAAGCGGAAGAGCTTCCCCCAGTGGAAATAATGAAGGCATCATTAGACTGCGAGGTGAGCATCCCCACATATGCTCAGGTGAGACTATTATAGGATCCAGCAACATCAGCTACACCATCCTAGACTCATCCCTTTACGCATCATCCACTATGCCATCAGGTGCCAACAATGCTCTTCCGCTATGTACACTGGACAATGTGTTGTTCCCTATGTGACAACATCAGTGAACACAAAACTGACATATCAGAAATCAAAACATTCAGAAACCCAGTGAGGGAGTTGGGGTGTGTGGCAAAGCACACTCCCTTGTGTACTTAACCAAAGGGTGGTAAGGACATAAGGGGGTGGGGAAGAAGCTAACACTACCAGTGAAGTTAGAAAACAAAAAATAACAACTTGAATAAAGCAAGTGAAATATAGTGGCAAAGAATAAAAAATATATAATAGGCCCCAAATAAAACTAGTATAGTAAAAAAATTATGTCTAAAGTATGGAGCACAGCCTTGAGCATCCTGCACTCTCACACTGGAAACGGGAGGATGTAAGACCACCCTTCCGACATTTCGGCACGCAGGCCTGACAGCCCCCACTCCTCAGGCACTCGTCCCAACAGAGCAGGCCAATCCCTCGCCATTCATGTCCCAGGCTCAACCCAGCACACCTCCTCCAAACGGCTGCTCAAATCCTTCAGAGGGGAAAACACTCACAGCAACTTAACGTACCCGATAGCCCAGGAGGATTTTCCACTTGCTGAGGCACTGGGACCTGGAGCGGTGGGGCAACTCCAAAGCAATTTTTGCCCAGTGACCTAAAGAGAGGAAGTTGTTAGGACTCAGAATAAATGGCCAATTATGTGTAGTCTACACCTTGGCGAAAGAAAAATTCGAAGTGTGTGTGTGTGTGTGAGAAGGCCACAAAAAACTGCCAAGAGGGTTCCTCCACAGGCTTCTCAATCTGCGCTCTAGTCCAAGGCAGAACAAGAAGTCAGGCAGGCAGGAACAGAAGGTGAGTCACACCTGCTTCCAGAGTCTGAGGGGAGGAACTGCCCCCTCAGCCACTCTCCAGCAAGGGGAATGGGTGGTGCAGGAACCCTTTTGCAGGCTCACGTGGGGGAAACAGACGGTGGGGGAGCGCAACCAAAGGAAAACCTCCCCCTCCTCAAAACACAGCAGCAGCAGCAGCAGCAGCAGGAGGAGGAAGAGGAAGAGGAGGAGGAAGAGGAGGAGGAAGAGGAGGAGGAAGAGGAGGAGGAAGAGGAGGAGGAAGAGGAGGAGGAAGAGGAGGAGGAAGAGGAGGAGGAAGAGGAGGAGGAAGAGGAGGAGGAAGAGGAGCCTTCACTTGGAGTCTCAGAGCGGCTTACAAATTCCTTCCCCTTCCCCTCCCCACAACAGACACCCTGTGAGGTAGGTGGGGCTGAGAGAGCTCTGGCAGAAACTGCTCTTTTTCAAGGACAGCTGTGCCAGAGCTTGTGACTGACCCAAGGTCACATCAGCAGGTGCAAGTGGAGGAGTGGGGAATCAAACCAGGTTCTCCCAGATTAGAGTCCACACACTTAACCACTACACCAAACTGGGATAAGACAGCCATAGGGAAAATGCCGAGAGAGAGGAAAATGGTCCCGGGCAGACCACATTCTGTGTGACCAAACCAAAGGTTCTTTTTATTTGTACAGTTCATATACACCCACCTTTCCCTCGAGCGTCTCAGGACCCAAGCTGGGTTATGACAGTATAGAAACAATCGGATAAAACACATAAAGTCCAAGCACCTCCAACCCCCACCCCCGCCTCCAAAGGGTGTGCCTGCTGTGCTCAGGATATGCCCACGGAGCTCTCTGTCTTACAGCCTACCCCAAAAGCTGGGAGAGCAGGAGCCCCCCTGGCCTCTTCCAAAGGCAGCCACCGAAAAGCTGGAATCTGGGCTGTGGTCAAACATCCCTTAGATTTGGGGGGGGGGGGAGACCTCGCTGGGAAGAATGAAGCTGCTGCACGAAGACACGCAGGAAGAGGGAGCTTTTGAGGTGAGCACCGATATCTGGAATTGGACTCGGAAACTGATCAGCAGCCAGCAGAGAGGCCACGGCCGGGAGTGACTCAGTCCCATCTGCCAGCCCCACCAAAGAGGCCAGCTGCAGGTTTGGGGTCAGCTTCGAGGACAGACCCATGCAGGGCAGCCATTTTTCAAACCGCCGGCTGCAAAAAGAGGCCCGCTCACTCGTCTGCCTTACCCACGCCGTACTTTTCTGTTAGTTCAATCAACTTCTTCTCTTCTTCCTCGCTCCATTTGCCCTTCTTTATATCATAGTGCAGAGCATGCAAGTACCTGCAAGGAGAGGTTGGTGGTGGGGAAAGAGAAGGAAGAGGGCACCGTGACCGTGGAGGGCAGAGGCCCCCCCAGAAGGTCTCCTGGCTCCTTCATGCAACTCCGTCTCGCCATCAGTTCCAAGCCTCTGCTATTCCCGCCTGCAGATCCCCTGAATTGTCTATCACCTTGCTATTGTTTCATTCCCTTTCATTATCCACAGATTTCCTTGTAGGGTACTCAGCCCCCCCCCCCAAGGACACGAGAGGCCAGAGAAATCTCAGCAAGAGTGCCTGACCTGCCATGAATTCCCATCACCTAAATAGTCCTCCAAGAGCAGATGCAGAACAGAGAGACTGACCTGTCTCGGCACTGAATGTCGTTCCTCCCCGGGACCGCCATTCGGATCTTATACCAGTCCCGCTCCCCATATTTTGCAACCGCCTTCAGCAGCAGCTGAGGAAGCAACACAGAAGCACAGGCAGGTTACAATCATCCCACTGTCACTGGCCCCAGGCTCATCGCTGCCCCCCACCCTGCAAGCAAATGGTGGCAGGAAGAAAAAAGGAAGCATCACCCCAAACACCTCCGGAATGCCGGGTCTCACACGGTTACACGTATCCCCAAGGAGCTTTCTCTGTTCCGCTCCCTGGCATTAGATCCACCCCTTCGGCTGGCACCCACCCCAGGTCCAATGGCCAGGATTCTCTCCTGCACTCAAGCTTGGAGCCGCATATTTGTTCATGTCCTGCAGGCTCCTCCGGACCAGGGCTCGGGGTGGCAGAAGTGATGGAGGGAGGTGTGGGAAGATGCCAGAGTGCTGGCTGGCAAGACTGTAGGCTTCCCACTTGGAAACAGGGCACTAGGCCCAGACAGGTCTTCCTGTCAAGGGCGACAACAACCACACCGGGCCCCCACCTGAGTTGGTAGCACAGCCAGAGGCACCGGCATTGTCAGAGCCAGAAGCCAGTCCCGTTGACTACTTGGGAGTTGACAGTGTGCTGCCGCCAGTGCCCAAGCCTGTAGCCCCCGCCCCTGCAGCAGCTGAGGAGGTACAGATGCAACCGGGAAGCCCACCTGACTCACCTCCGTGGGTGGTTCGGCTGAGGGAACGGCTCCACAAGGAGTTAGCCACCCACTGCCAATACGCACGCTGGCAGGGAAGGCGAGCACCAAGTCCTGAGTGCGAGCAGGAGAGGGGCCGCCGCCAAGGGAAGCAGAGCCGGAGGCCTATATCGCTCCCACTTGGGACTGGGCTCTCTATGGAAGCCATGAGTCGCCTCCGTGCGAACCTCGCATCCACTTCGGCTCCTGTTCTCAGACCCCACTCGTGTTCGGATTCCTGGCTTCCTGGCCCCTCTCTCGGACTTACGATTCGGCTATCGCTCTGACTCTCCTGGCAATGACCTTGGACCGGACCTGACTCCCGCCTCTCGGCCCAGCCCAACCCGGTTCCCCACAATCTGCCCCGGAAAGCAGACTATCCTACAACTAGTCAACAGCAGCAGTAAACAGCCCTTCCTTACAGCATCTTCCTCTGGGGTCCAGGATCCGTGCCTCAAGCTGGGATCCAGTCGCTTGGTCCACCGATAGATCAGCTGGGCAGAATCCCTCCCTTCCATGTAGTAGGCAACTGTGGATTACAGAGAACGTTCAACTCACTCGTTTCCTGGCCCGGGAGACTCTTCCCACACACAAGTGCCAAGTGCAGCTCGAACAGCACAATGCCTGCAGAGCCAGCCCTTTACGTGCAAATGACCCGAGCACAACTCGCTCCCTTGTGAACCTCCGCTTCAAAGGTCAACCCTCAAGCCACCGCCCAAGGGCTTGTGTCTTCCCCACTCCAGCACTGACCAGAGAGGCAACCTTTCTGGAGATTCTGAAGCCACGCAACCCCACCCCCCCCCCCCCCCCCGCGAAAACAAAATTGCCTATTAAACTTAAACCTCTTTTACTGATTTAACCTACTATTATAACTATATATATGTGGCTGGTCTAGCAATGGTAATAAATTCTACTACTACTTACTGATTTAACAACGTTATTTGTAACATTATTTGAATCATTTATAACTTAGTATGTAAAAACAGTACTATCAGCATATTTATGGAATTTCACAGTATAAATAGCTTTGTTTTCCACACACAAAACTGTACATATACCCAATACTTAAGAGCTACAAATTGCTCCACCCTATGCTACCACAGGACATGTATCTTTTTGCCATCTTAGAGGTTGACGGTAGAAAAAAAGTTGACGGTAGAAAAGAAATTCTGTAGTAAACCATAGTGCTCCCCCAAGTTCCCCAATTTTTCCACTTAAAAAGTACTCAATTTTTTCATGCTTTCAAGAGTGAAAAACTTTGTCTTAAGAAAGGCCTCGACAAATCTTCTTTGGATGTAAACTCCAGCTCCAAAATTGGAGCCTTTCAGTTTTCAGTTTCATATATTAATTACCAGTTGTTCTAATTATTTGTAGTAACCCTAGCCTCTTCAGTTTCTCATAATTTTATTGTAGCAGTGACAAAACTGTGGCACATAAATAAATACAGGGATAGCCCTAGCTGCCAACGCTGCAGCAAAAACCTAAACTAACTAGCTAGCCCAACTTCTCCTTTATTTTTGATAATTCTATTATTGCTTTAAAAGCTACTTTTAATTGAATGCTGGAGCCAGTATAGAAAGCAACTGTTGAAGAAATCAATTCATCCACCACCACTGCATGGTGAACAGGTAAAGAAACAAGCAACCAACCAAGAGACCTTCATTTTTATGCTATACAACAAGATATATTGTCATGTGAAATGATAAATAAGTTTTTCATTTCTCACTGAGAGACACAACAATACCAGGTAAGGCAGTGAAACTTCTAGGTGTCATAGCAACTGGGCGCCTGGGACTTGCCGAGCCCTGCCTTGAGAAACATTTTAGTAATTCTAAAAGAGAAAATATTCCACAGGAGGGGTTTTCTCAGTGGTCCCCCAAGTTTATCAGAATTTTTTTTAAAAAAAAAAACATATTCTTTCCCCAAACATTTCATTCCCCCCCCACCGAGGCCTTCATATTTTTACCACTGGTTGCGGCTGCTGGAAGCACAACTCGGAACCACACCTACCCTTGGGTGTGATCAGGAAGGGGGGCTTACTTTTTCTTTTTTTTAAAGGACCAAACCCTCACCAATATCAGCCACCTTAATATGACTTTAAGGAACAAAGAGATTTAAGCCTCAAGAACCAGACAGGCTCTTGAGGCACCCACATGCCCTGCAACTGGAGAGGACCCCGTGGGGACACGGCATCAGGCAGCTGAACCAGACGACTCAAGCAGGACAAGCCACACGCCACAGGGAAGGGACCCCTAAAGAAGCTGAAAAGTCTTCAACACAGAGGCCAGGAAGAGAGCTCCTTCTAGACCCTGAGAGCATAAAAGGGAAGGATACAAGTACAAACACAGAGGTTGGGATTTGGGAAGGGGCGTGTGTGCTGCAATGGTACTAAACGGAACCTCTTGGGGGCAGGGGCAGCTTACTTTTCCGGTATGGGATGTGGTTCCCCACCCGCATTTCTTGCACCAGCTGCGAGAGCATCCGGTCCTCTTCTGGGGCCCACTCACTCCGCCTGAATTCTTTGTTGTTCACCTGAAACTTCTGCAGGCACTGGAAGGCAGTTCGCTGCGTCTGTGGAGGAGGGAGGTGGCCGAAGAGACAGCTGTTCAGGTGACAGCAGGGTGGTGCAAGAGACATCAACCGAACACACGGCATCTATGCAGACCGAGCTTTGCTGTAGCACAACCAACCTTTTTGGGCCAGTGGCTGCCTTTGGAATTTTAATAAAATGGCTGCTGGCTGCAGGAGGCAAAGCCATCCCCCAAACTGCTGCCACAGCGTAGCTCCAGTCACACAGTCAGCAGTAGCTGCCGAAGCATGTCCACACTCCACGCGGCCCTTTATATTTAGATGAGAGTCCGGCAAAACCTTAGAGACCAGCAATGTTAAGTCAAAGCTCCTTTCATCAGAGGCCCGACAGTGGGAACTTGACTCTCGCAAGCCGAGACCCTGAAGCTCTTGCTGGTCTCTCAGGCGCCACTGGGCTCAAACCTCGCCGTTCTGCCGCAGCCCAAGAGACCTTTGTGCTGGAAATCCTCTTAAACTGAGCAGCCCGCCTTTTCCCAACGGCCACGTCAGCTTCCAAGCGCCCAGCCAAGTGATTCCGCCTCAGCCACGCCCTTACCCCCAGCTCCTGGGCGATCGTGTCCCAGTTGAGGCACTTGTGTCTGGCAGCAATTCCTTTGAGTTTCTCGATCTCTTCCTCACTCCACTCTGTCTTGTTGATGCTGGGATGTTCAGAATTCTGCCAGTATTTCTGCAGCTCTTTTGCACTGCGCATTCCTTCAAACTAGAAGCACATCAGAGAGGGTGAAGCGAGGGAAAAAGCATTTGCTCTCTCTCTCCCTCTCTCCATACCCTACATGGCCAGGGTCCGGCATACCTTTTCTCCATGGCCTAGGCAACAGCTGCTGACAAAGCTCTGCATGGTCTTTGAACATAACTAGAACAAAAAGGACAAAGAAGTAGGAAGAAGAGCTCCCAGAGGAGATCAAGGCCCTGCGGGACCTGTTACAGTTCCGCAGGGCCTGTAAGACGGAGCTCTTCCACCAGGCTTTTGAATAGGAGCTGCCGCCGCTACCACTACCACCAATCAGGGCCTGCAGAGTAGTACCGCCAGGTTAGGCTGATTGGCCATTGAACATCGGGGTCATACTATCCCCCCCCCTCTTTTTCTTAACTTAATAGGATGTGCAATAGGGAGGGAGTGTTTTAATCGCGCTGGATCCTTGGGAGTTGCCCATTGTATTTTAGTCGTCTGATAATGTTTTAAATGTTTTAACTGTACTTTATTGCACTGCGTGCTTTATTGTGTAACTATGGTGTAGTATTACACCTGTGTACTGTAAGCCGCCCTGAGCCCGCGTGCGGGGAGGGCGGGATATAAATGTAATAAAATAAAATAAAATAAATAAATAAATAAATACCCAGAACAACCACGAGCAAGGAGGACTCGCATGTGTTCCCCCCTTTCCACAGAGGAGGTCCGGGCAAGACCGCCACCTCCTGGGCTACTCACGTTGACATTGGCAATCTTGTCCCAGTCATGCTTATCGAGTCTGTTTCCCAGCAAAACCTCCTCTGGCAGCTGTCTAGAAAGGGTGGGAGGAGGAGAGGGCAGAGTTACATCTCTTGGGGGAGCATGATGCTCTTGCACCAAACCACTATTCTAACAGTCTTCTTCTGAATGCAGAAATGGCACAAAAGCAGAGCTAAACAGGACACCACAAACGGGCTATGAAGAGTAAGTGGTGGTTTTCATGAAATGACAGATCACAATTGCAAAGACCTGCTTTTAAAAAATGTATGTCTGTTTTTAATGAACCCTTAGCACTGAAATATATCACTTATATAGCCAAATTATCACCAAGACAGCCTTTAAGGCTGGAAAATTTCAAGGAACTGGGTTTCATTGGACCTTTGCTTTCAAAAACTACATGGTAACATTACCACGGAGCTTCACTCAAGACTCTAATCCACTTGCAACCAGCATTACTGCCGATGTGAACAGCTACAGATTATTAGCCTTCTTCCTTGAACAGCGCCAAGAGACAAAGCTCAATGCACCCCATTGCCTTGAAACGTCAAATACTGGTCCCCAGTTAGAAAGAAACGTTGGGTACTTGGAGCCATGTCCAACATGCCCTCCTGGGGGCCGGCTCAGTGGGGAATGGGAAGGAACAGCTGACAATGACTCTCCAGGGCTTCGCTTACATGCTCGGAGGTCCCTGGCCTGACTGGGGCACACTAAGGGTTGGAACTGAGGTAGCTGCCCAACAGTTAGACGGCCACTGCATTCTCCCAGCTGCCATTTCACGGCCTGTTCAGCAGTCAAAGGGCTGTAAACCTTGCGGGATCAAGCACCGCCAGAAACAGCTTGGTTTTTTTGGAAAAGCACAAGCACAGCCCCTCAGCTCCCACGTGCTTCCTCTGAGCAAAGGCCATTCCTGCTTACTCGATGTTGTTCATTTCACGCTCGACTTCTTGGATTTGCTTTGTCAAGATCTGCTTTTCCATCTCATCCCGGGATCTTGCCAGCTTGTCAGTCAGATACTCAACCCTGTGCAGAAACATCGCTGTGAACAACTCCAGGCGCAAACAAGAGAGCAGATTCCGCTCACTCCCACAGTCCCAAACTCCAGGCAGCGGCTTGCGGCACTGCAGAGATTTGCTGAGGGCCAGGAAGGCAGCACTGCCTGGCCTCCAGAGCTCTGCACTAAGAGCCCTCGGTGAACCTGCCGGACAGGGTGGAAGAGGTCTTAGGCCAGGGACAGTGCCACCCAACTGAGGGGTTCCCCTGGACTCTGGACACTTTTGGAATGGCAAAAGGGCCACAGCTCAGTGGGGGAGCACAGCCCCAAAGGGCACATCTGGGCCCCTTTATTCTCAGGCGTCTATTCCTTGCTGCTGTTGTCCATCTCCTCCCTCGTTCCTGTTCTCTCCACAGTGTCAGACAGCTGGCTCTTCAGGGAAGGGCACTGACTCCCTTTTGCCTTAGACCAATAAGCCAGGTGCACAGTCTAGAAGGGAAAGTCTTCCAAGATTTGGACACAATTGGTGTGACTCCTCTCCTGATTCCTAAACTGAGAACGTTTTGGCAGGATCCATACTTACTTCAAAAGTTTTGGTTGAAGGAGATGCTGCAAATGATCACTGACCACAGACTGATGGAGCAACAGCTTCTCTCGGCTCTTCCCTGGGGAAGAAAGAACAGGGATGGCTTACAGAAGTCACCCGGTCAAGCACCCCTTCCAGTGGGGAAGCCCCAGTTAAGGTGCAACTGGAGGCTTTCAGGAAGACCACTGTCCATTAGCAGTCCCAAAGGAACTTGGTCCCTGCGTGCTCCACCACGCAAGGGCCCACCCCTCACCAACTGAACTGCTGAGAACCCCAGAGCCCCCCTTACATTTTGTAGTGATCAGATCCTCAAAAGGTTTTATGCCTCGCATCGCTTTTTCTCGGGCATCGCTGTTGGCAGGAGGACCCTGGGAGTGGGGTGGGGGAAAGAATCAGACAAACCACATGCATGGGAAAGAGCAGGTAAAGAAAGAGGTACTTTTCTCCCTTTCTCACAATCCAAGAACTCGTGGGCACTCCATGAAACTGCAGAGCGGTCGGGTTAGAACGGATAAAAGGAAGTACTTCTTCACCCAAAGAGTGATTCACACATGGAATTCACTGCCACAGGAAGTGGTGGGTGCTACAAGCATGGACGGCTTCAAAAGGGAATGAGATAAGCATATGGAGCAGAGGTCCATCAGTGGCTATTAGCCACAAGGTATAGCTAGGGGCTCTGGGGCAAGTGATGCTCTGTCTTCTTGGTGCTTGGGGGGGGGGGGTCAACAGGGGGAGGGCTTCTAATGTCCTGGCCCCACTGCTGGACCTCCTGATGACACTGGTATTTCTGGCCACTGTGTGACACAGAGTGTTGGACTGGATGGGCCTTTGGCCTGATCCAACATTGGTGTCTCTTATGTTCTTATGTTCTTAAACCACACAATTCGACTCCATCACAGTTCTCAGCTCTGGGGGACCATTCCGGCCACAAAATGATCCCCACCTCTTTAAGTGTGCCTGTTTGTAATCAGACATTCACTGATAGCTTAGTGGCAGCCACGGATCCAGAGTCTGGAAGAGCCAAAATCAGCACTGGCCAGGGGGGCTAAGGAAATAGCACCTGGGGGCAATTAGAGCCTGCCTGAAAAGCGTCTTCCTAATCCTGATGCAAACAAGCAGGCTGCAAGCCAAGGACGATGCCCAGCTCTCGAGGCAACAGCTCCACGCCGGCCTGTATCCCACCACTTATACTTACGATTCCTGACGTCTGATCCTTGAAATATGGCTTCATGAAATGGCCCAGGAACACATTTGCTGGCATGGCCTTTCCATCACTGGTCTTTGCCACTCTGGGCCCAGCAAGCTCCCTGGTGAGCTTTTCCTACCATGGACAAAAAAGGGAAGAGAACATCAACACGGCACATCAAAAGCCGGCTTGGAAGAGAATCAGAGAACACTTGAAGGTCACCCACTCCAACTACACCCCAAAGGGAAAATCACACACAAATTAACCCCTGCTAGACAAGCTGCTGCTTGCTCACTTGGCTGGGCTGCAGTTTTTGAAGAACTGTGTCCATCTTCAGTGGCAAGCCCACCACTCCCATTTCCTGGCACTAATGGCACAAAAAGTGAGGGCTAGGAGGATAGACCCCTCTTTGACACGGATGTTGCGCAATGCCAGGTCCATTAGCAATAAGGCCATGGCGCGGCAAGATTATATTGCCTTATAACTGATTTGGCCTGTAAATATCCCAAGGAGCGTATAAATTGTTCAGTGAGGTTGTAAAGCCCAGTCTCCACAACACAATTTTGGGTTAAAGAAACAGAGCTCAAATTGGGTTTTGATGGTCTCTCTAAACACTTTTTGACGCAGATGGACTATAGTTTCATCAAACTGTTTTTAAAACAAAGAATTTTGGATATTGAGAGACAGCATGACCTATTGCAGATTAAATCCTATCTTCCAGGCATGGAGAAATTAAATCAAGTTGTAATGATGCCATACCTTCAGAATCTCGATAAAGCTGACTATAGAAGAGCATTTACTCTTATGAGAGTGGATATGCTGCCCTCAGTGGTTACACAGGGCCGATACAAAAAGCGGCCATATGATGAAAGACTGTATCTGCGGGGAGAGTAAGATAGAGACAAGGGAACATGTACTACTCAAGTGTAAACTTTATCAGAATATTCGGTCTATATATCACTGATTTGTAGCCAGTTCCCAGGGAGGGATTCCAGATTTTATTTAGATAAGCTTTTAGCTTATATGGACCAAGAAATTTCTTTAAAAGTGGCAACATTTACTATTCAAGCTATAAGACTCCGGAAAAAGCTGCTAAACAAAAATATCTAATCATTTTATTAATTTTAGGTCTAAAATTTTAGATTTGGTATTGGAATTTGTATATCCAGGTTTTAAGCTGTGTCTGCTTTGAACGCCATATTTTGATATTTGGTTACATTTGGACGTATTATAGATTAGTTATGAAATGTTATTTGTTCAGTCTTTGACTATAATAAACCAATTGACTGATATAGCTACCGGTGAAAGCTCCGACCCATTAATACAGACCGGTTTCTGTAATGTCTCACTAACCTGTTAGTGTTCTTTGAGGGGGTGAACAAACATGTGGACAAGGTTGCAGTAATCAAGCCTGGAAGGGACCACTGCATGAGTCACTGTAGCTAAGTCCCGGGGGGGGGGGGGGCCTTCAGTAGCCTGATCGGCCTAAGATGGAGGAATGCAGATCTGGCAACTGCGGCAACCTGGGCCTCCATGGGCAGAGAGGCACCCAGAGTTACTCCCAGGCTCCTCACTGCCTGGGCTGGCACCAAAGGTGCCCCCTTCCAGTGTAGGGAGCCTGGTGCCCACATCTGTGCCCTCTTTACCCAGGTACAGGATTCAATGGATTTAACTTCAATCGACCCTGCTGCAACCATCCAGCCACAGCTTCCAACGCCTCAGCCAGCTTTCCGGGAGCAGAAGACGGATGGCTGTCCATTAACAGACAGAGCTGGGTGTTGTCAGCATACTGGTGACAGCCCAGGCCATAATTTCAGACTAACTGGGCGAGGGGGCGCATATAGATGTTAAATAACAATGGCGAGAGGATCGCCCCCTGCAGCACTCCACATTCTAGTGGGTACTGCAGGGAGACCCTCTCACCAAGTGCCACCCTCTGTCCCTGACCATGGAGAAAGGAGGAAAACCATTTCAAGGCAGTCCCCTGAACTCCTAATGTTGGTGAGGCGATGGGTCATACGATCGTCGTCAACCATGTCAAACACTGCTGTTAGGTCTAATAACAACTCGGTCCAGATGTCTACGGAGGTCATTTGTGAGGGAAACCAGAGTCGTCTCCATCCCGTGGCCAGGGCAGAAGCCGGACTGGAAGGAGTCAAGGATGGAAGTGTCATCCAGGAAGGCCACCGCTCTCTCAAGCACCTTGCCCAGGAATGGTAAATTCAATACTGGGTGGTGGATGGTCAGGACCGTCAGGTCCAGTGATGGCTTTCAAGAGTGGCCGAACCACCACCTCCTCCTTCAAAGCTTCTGGGAAAGTCCCAGTAGAAAGGGACAAGTTGATCATTTCTCCCAGAGGAGCTCAAATGCTCTCCCCCCCACAAGATTTCACTAGCCAGGAAGGGCCTGGGTCAAGGAGGCAGGTAGTGGGCCTCACTGCTGCCAGGATCCTGTCAACTTCCTCCCAGGAGAGTCGATCAAAGTGGTCCAATATTGGACCAGAAGATGGACAGGGGGCTTCCAGTTCCTTTACTGTCTCAATTGTGACGGAGAGTCACGATCTTATCTGCAAAATAGTTCGCAAATGCCTCACGGCCAATAGCCAATTCCCTACTATTTAGTCTGCCCTGTGGCAGAGTCGTAATAGACCGAATAACTCTAAACAACTGGGCTGGGCACGAGCTTGCAGACACAATGGAGGCCGCACAGAAATCCTTTTTTGTAGCCTTCACTGCCATAGGCCTTCATAAACATCCTATACAATGTTTGTGACACTTTGTCACGAGCACGCCGTCACCTTTGCTCTAGCTGTCTTAGCTCCCACTTTGTCCTCCGCAGCTCCATGGTATACAGCGGTGCTGCTTTGGTGCAGGGGTGCAAAGGGCGCTGGGAGGCAATCTCGTCAATGGCTTCAGAGAGCTGGTTATCCCAGTCCTCCACCAGCTCATCTAATGAGGTCCCAGGGGGCATTGGATCAGCAGAGCTTCCTGAAGCCGACTAGGGTCCATTTGACTTCGCGGGCGAGCATAAATACGCTCACCGTCTACACAGGGTAGGTATGGTCTGCTGGACCTTCAGGGCAAAGTGGACAGACCATGGGACTATATCCATAGTCATCAGATCCACATGTATCCCCAACCCAAAAATCGGATCCAGTGTATCGTCGAATGGCTTAGGCCTCCAAAACCAGGGCATGTGCAAATGAATCACAAAGACTTTATTATCTGGCTGAAGATAGATCCCTAGTATGTGCCAAGCTACTAAAACATGAGACATGAAGAAAAAACCCTTTTATTTATTTATTTGATTTACAACCCGCTCTCCCCAGAACTGGCTCAGAGCGGGTGACAATTTATACATATACAATTAAAAACATTTTTTAAAAAAACAATAAATACAAAAATAAAAAAGGCAGTTACTATAAAATTTAAGATGGCATAAAAATTCACAAGAAGGGGCAATAAACAACAAATACAGAAGGGAAGCAAGGGGGGAGGGGCCAGAACTAACTGTAGCCTCTTGGCTACAGTCAAAACTCTCGCGGCTGCATTCCGGACCAGTTGCATTTTCCAGATCAACCTTAATTCCCTACGTAGAGCAAGATACGGTAATCTAGCCTAGAGATGACCATGGCATGGATCGCCATAGCCAGATCGGAGGGTGACAGGTACAGGGCCAACCGTTTAACTTGGTGAAGATGGTAAAATGCAGGCTTAATCCCTTTAGTGACCTGGGCCTCCACTGAAAGGGAGGCATCTAGGATTGCTTGCTCCTGAGTCCCAAAGTCTTGACAGATGGTGCAGCTGTCAACGGCACCCCATCAAGAGGAGAGTTGACAACCCGTCCCAGCTCCCCCCCCCCCAGCCACAGGACCTCCGTCTTTGCTGGATTTAATTGCAGCCTGCTCTGTTTTAACCAATCACCCACGGCCTCCAAACCCCTGGCCAGGTTTCCTGGGGCGGCACCTGGCCAGCTGCTCATCAGCAGACAGAGCTGGGTGTCATATCCACGCACTGGTGACAACCCAGCCCATGATCCCACGCCAGCTGGGCAAGGGGTGCATAAAGATGTTAAATAAGATTGGGGTGAGGATAGCCCCTGAGGAACTCCACATACCAATGGGTACTGTGATGAAGCCCTCTCCCCTAGCGCCACCCCCGTACTCGACCTTGGAGAAGGGAGGTAAACCACTGTAAGGCTGTCCCCCGAATCCCCATGCCGGTGAGGCTGTGGGTCAAAGGGTCATAATGAACCATGTCAGACGCTTCTGATTAGTCAAGCAACGTCAGCAGCACTGACCTGGCTTGATCCAGCTGCCTGCAGAGACCATCCATGAGAGCGACCAAAGCCATCTCCACCCCATGGCCAGGGCGGAACCCGGACTGGAAGGGATCCAAGGTTGTCGTTTCATCCAAGAAAGCCTGGAGCTGCACCGTTACTGCCCTCTCAACTACCTTTCCTAGGAACGGTAAGTTCGACACTGGGCAGGAGTCGGCCAGATCACTAGGATCTAAGGATAGCTTTTTCAGGAGTGGCCTAACCACTAAACTCCCTGACATTAAAAATTCACCAGATTGGTTCTTGGAGCAACAGGTCCCCTTTGGAAAATGCAGAACTCCTTCCCAGCAGACAAGGCCCTGAGAAATGCTCTCTTGAAAGTCAGAATTCACAGAGGGGTGCGCCTGTGAGGTTCAAATGGGTCCCACAGTAGCACCTAGAGGACCCTGTGAACATCCCATTCTGTGACCAAGAGTAGCACAACCAGACCCCAGGATTGGAACCACCCTGAATGCAGCCTCAGGTGGAGCGGCATCACTGACTCAGCAGCAGCTTCAAAAGCAGGGCAAGAAACCTCTGCAAAAGAACAGCCTCCACCAGCACAGCAGACTACTGCTGGTCTCTGTCTACAGACTCCACAAGGCTGCAGAAGGTTGAGATGTTCTGGCATTTAAAAGTGACAGCCAAGTAGAAGCAACCAAGAACGTAGGCCTAACCTGCAGGAAGCATTGAAGGAAGGAGCAGTTGGGCCTCCAGCCAGATATCTAAGTCTTTGTAATTAACTTGCAGATGCCCCACCTGCAGGGCAAACAGGAGGTGTAGCCCATTCAATGATATCTTCCTTTACTGGTGGAAAACCCAGATCTTATTTTCCTACATTCTACTTGAACTCTACATTTTAAAATCCAAATGTACAAGAAAAACGGGCAGAAGGATCACACGCCCAACACCCTCGCCTGATAACTGCAGTTCACTTTGTGGTCACCAACAGAACCTTTTGATACAGTTAACAGAAGGGGCAAAAGCACATCTGTGCTTCCTGCTCCCAACTTGAAATTCTCCTTGTATCTCTGGTGCATTCAAGCACTGCTTTCTCCAGTACACCTCTCCCCTTCCCAGCAACTAAAACACTTCAACAGATTATTAAAGCAGGTTCAACTTTGCTCACCTGCTGTTCTTTGTTTTGGGAAAGCAGAATGTTGACCTCCTTGATCTTCTCCTCGATAACTTCCTGATAGACCAGGTTCATTTGCAGGCAGGTCTCTGGAGTTTCAGGGAGGTGAAGCTCTCTCTCACAGTCCTCATCCGAACTGCCTTTCCTCCCATCTGGGCTCTCCTCCTGATCCAAGAAGACATGAGGAGAAAATGGGGGGGGGGGGGGGGGGGGGCACGACACCACTTATTTAAACAGGCAAGGAATACAACAAGTATCTCAGCAGAGTGAGTGGAGAATGCTACTGGTGTGCCCCTCCCTAACTGCTTTCCATGTTCCACCTTCCTCAATAGCCATCAGCCCCTTTGGTCATCCCCAGGCACAAGAAAGCTTAAAATGCCTGGCCTCTCATCCCATTCAAGAAACCTCCAACCCCATGATTTTCGCTCATGCTACTCTGCACAGTGCCATGAACCACCTCCTGCTTCCACAACAGCCAAGAGAAATGTATGCACAGGTTTGCTTCCACTTTAGGGACGGGCATGAACCGGCTCGCAAGCCTTTGTTCATGGTCAGTTCATGGTTTGCAAACTACTGCCCGGCCACAAACCTCCACAAACTTTTAAGGCAGTTCGTGGAAGTTCATAGGAAGCAAAAAGCAGAGCTTTTAACCCCTGCTCCCTGCAAAAGCTGCCAAAACAGCCGACCAGTGGGAGCAAGCTGCTCTTGGATGGTCAGCTGCTTAGATCAGAAACACTGCTCTGTATGAACAAATTTAGAATCCAGTGGCTCCTTTAAGACCAACAAAGGCTTATTCAAGGTATGAACTTTCGTGTGCAAGGCACACTTGTTCAAATACACTGGAATGGTAGATGAGGTTCTAACTTATAGACAGGGACATAACAGCAAATTAACATGTAACATGATGATGTTTTAAGTTATGCAAAGTGAAAAACTGGATCTAATTGCTTTGCATGTTTCAACTGTTTAAAGGAGCTTTCTTGGGTTCAGCTCTGAGCCATTTAAACCAAACAGCTGAGTGGCAGTCCATGGGAGCCATTTAAATCACTGCTTTCCACTGCCATGAAAAGCAGCAGGGAGCAGAAAGCAGGGGTCACTAACTGGTTTTGTTTGTGAACCCACCTCTCGGTTAGTATAGGTTTGTGGTATGGTTCAGCCACAGACCATGAACCGAACTGCAAAAATGCAGTCCATGGCCATTCCTACTCAGCCCTCTTTGGGAAACTGAGGCTCCAGCAGCACCAGGCGTTCTCCTCAGAGGTGTGAGCCTCGAGAGAGAGCCGCATCAGAGGGTTCAGAAAGGCCAGCGAAGCAGGATGCAGACACGCCAGAGACCCCCTTGCGGGAGGCCATCTGGGCCTGCAGCCGCCAAGCCTGCACCAGGAAGGAGGGTCTGCCCACGCGACTCCGTGGCCTTCTCCCCCCTCCGACTGCTTACTTACTGAAGCAAAGGAAGCGTCTGAATCCTCTTCATCGTCCTCTGCCGGGATAAGAAGGTTACACAGATAACAGGTAAGCGACTGTAAATCCTCAGGAGACACACACACACACACACCCGCCGCCGACTCGGAAGACAAAGAAGGGCCGCAGCCAGTGCCGGATTTACGCATAAGCTAAATAAACTACAGCTTAAAGGTAAAGGTTCCCTCGCTTGAAAGCTAGTCGAGTCCGACTCTAACCGTTTCCAAGCCAAAGAGCCAGCGCTGTCCGAAGACGTTTCCGTGGTCATGTGGCCGGCATGACTAAACACCAAGGCGCACGGAACACTGTTACCTTCCCAATTTCTTGCTTTCGAACTGCTAGGTTGGCAGGAGCTGGAGCTAGAGATGGGAGCTCACTCCGTCATGCAGCACCCGAGTCTCAAACTGCTGAACTACCGACCTTCCACAGCCTGCAGTTCAGCGTCTTAACCACTTGAGCCACCGCAGCTCCAGTTTAGGGCCTCGCAATCTGCTGGGGCCTCGAATAGAAACACAATATAAAAAAATGGTTTCAAATATTAAAAAGGCGCATATATTTTAAATTTTTCTGAGACCAGCTGATGTAATTTTAAAACAGTAGGGGGGCCTCTGGGTTTTGTATAGCTCAGGGCCTCAGCGAGTCTAAATCCGGCCCTGGCCGCGGCCGCAGCGCTTCCGTCCGGACCAGCCACCCCCGCCGCGACCCGCCTG